CATTTGTGTGTCTGAAGACTTTGATGTCAAAAAAATCCTAAAAGAGATGTTAGAATCTCTCACCAAAGAGGGTTGTTCAATTGAAAATGAGGCTATCATAGTGGGAAAAATACAAGATGAGTTAAAAAATGAAAACTATCTACTCATCTTAGATGATGTGTGGAATGAGGATCCATTGAAGTGGGAAGCCTTAAGGGGTTGTTTGTTAGAAATAAATAAAAAGAAGGTGAGTAGAATGGTTGTGACAACTCGAAGTGAAAATGTAGCATCTACAATGGGAGCACTTGGAGAACACATGTATCATCTTGAAGGACTAGAAGATGAAGAGTGTTGGTCTATAATAAAGCAGAGAGCATTTGGAGGTTCTTCAGTGCCTAATCTGGAGTTGGAAGCGATTGGAAGGCAGATCGCTAAAAAATGTAAAGGTGTGCCCTTAGTTGCCAATGTTGTTGGGGCTAGTTTGAGTAATCGAAGGGATAGAGGCGAATGGATGTCAGTTAACAATAGTTTTGATGCAAGGAGTTCACTGGAAGATGATAGGAGGGCATGGACTGTTCGAGTTTTACAGCTGAGTTTTGATCGGTTACCTAACACAACATTGAAGCAATGTTTTGCCTTTTGTTCCATTTTCCCCAAGGATTGGGAAATTGAAAAGGAGATGTTAATTCAACTTTGGATGGCTGAAGGCTTTCTTCAACCATCACAAGGAAGTTCAATGGAGGATATTGGTGACAAGTATTTTAATGACTTGTTATCATATTCTTTGTTTCTAGAGGAAGAAAGAGATTCAACTGGTAAGATTAAGTCATGCAAAATGCATGATTTAATTCATGATCTTGCCACTTCCAATTCAAAATCAGAAACACTTATTTTTAAAGCTGGTTCAGAGAGCAATATTGCTCATGTTCGGCATTTGAATCTCGTTAATGCTGAGGAGATGGTGCCAGCAAATTTTGTGGAGGTGGCTGGAAAACTACATTCCTTATTTCTTAAAGGTGATATTTTGGGCAAGATGCCAGATAGCTTCAAAAGGTTACGCATTCTTAGCTGTGAAAAAGGTAGCCTTTGGAGAATTAATATTGAGCAGTTGCCAACTTGGATCGGCAAGATGAAGCATTTGAGGTATCTAGACATTTCATACACTGACATTAAAGAACTACCCCAGTTTATCATGGAGTTGTATAGTTTGCAGACACTGAGGTTCATGTTTTGTTTGGCAATAGAAAAACAGCAAGAAGGGGTGGAAAACTTAGTCAGCTTGAGACACATTTATTTCAGTGAAAAAAGGTGTATGCCACTCAGAATTGGTAAGCTAAAGGATCTTCAAACGTTGCAGTTATTTGTTGTCGGTCTACAAGAGGGAAGTCGAATTGAGGAATTGGGATGCTTGAGCCAACTTAGAGGTG